TCATCCTCATCCTCATCCTCATCCTCATCCTCATCCTCATCCTCATCCTCATCCTCATCATCAAGAACTGTCATCGACCTAATCTCACAAGCTACCAAGAGAGGTTTTTTTGAGACCTGAAGTGGGACCCTTTTTGGTAGTGCACATGGGATAGGCGAAAAAGGGATGATCAACTAACCTCTCTAGGTAGTTTCAGAAGTGCTCCTTGAAGCTCGGTCAAGAAGATTTCTGTGCAACGGCTAGGTCAAGTCAGCCGAAGCACCGTGCACTGTGCCCGTTTTCCGGCGAACAGAGCCTGCACCGGGTGGGGACGTGGGTGTAGTCACAGTCCAAGCCTGCGAGTGTTTTGCCTGGTGTCCAGAATCATCCGGCATTCCATGTGGAGTCAACCTGTACATACCGCAGAAAATGGGTGCAGTCGTACTACGCACCTGTTTCTTTTTTAACTGGGCCATGTCATGTCCTATTTTCATGTGTTCATGTGTTTTCTATATAGTCTATAGGGCCCCCAACAGCAACAGCTCGCTCCCTACATCTCCCTACCTACCACCTGCAAGGCTGAAGCCAGCAAGTTCAGCTCATTTGCAGACAAGCTGTTCCGAACGGGTTGATATACAGGCATAGGGATTTGTCGCTTAGAGAAAGCTGATCATCGGTGCTGAACATTTCGGCGTGCACCTCAGACGTCCCGCTTCCCCTGGCCAGGCTCGGATAAAGGCCGAAAAAGAGAAGGCCAAAGAAAAGAGGGACCAGGAATTGTGACTGGCCTGCAAATTTAGGGCCAGGCTTCCTTGCCTGGGTTACCCCGACAAAGTCGTACCTCCACCTCATCGAAGTCTAGGCACATTGCCCGTGTGTCTGGGTTGATGTTCTTGCGGGGTGATGTTCTTGCTGCGCCGCTGTGCCCACTGCAATCGGCTCATCAGGGCGCAGAAGGAGGAGAAGGGGAAAGCCACGGAGGAGGCGCAGCAGAAGGCTTCAGAAGCCATGGAGGCTGCGAAAAAGCGGTTGATCCAGAAGAAGAAGCAGGAGTGGATGAGCGAGAACTTGTTCATACGAAGTTGGGGTTGGAGAGCCTGGCACCGCTCCATAGCAGCATCCTGAAGAGCAACATGATCCTCAAACCACCGCTGGCGAAAGCGATGCCTTTTTATTGCTTTTTTTTGTATTTGTTGTTAGTGTTTTTGAAGGCTCCTGTTTGAGCATGAGGTCTTGAAGGCATTCATCAACCCAGTGTCCACCATATCTCTCTCCGTGTGGGTTCGACAGACTTTGGAGAATTGATTTATCCAGACGTGGGAAAGGGTCGGTGGGCAGGGGCCATCCTGAGCCCTTTGGAATGATCTCCCTAACCATGAGGTCGGACCCGTTGATCCCGGTTTTGACCCTCCTTGCACAGCGGAGGTTTGGACCCTCACCTTCACACCTCAAAGAGGGTCCTTGATGCTTAGTGCTGTTCCTTTGGTGGTGTTCCAAAACATTTCACCTAACAAAACGGCAGCCTCGCTGAAAGCGAGGCTGTCCGGGCTTTCTCAGAACATCTCAGAACACAACCAAATCGAAGACAACATCTGCACCACACGAACATTCGCTTTAGTGTCGGCCGAACAAGGGCTTCCTCGTTGGAGGATGGGTGCCAGCGGATGCCAGGCGGGCCGGAGCCAGCTCGCTCGTGCGCTCGTCGGTCCGGAGTCGGTCCGGGTGTGCACGACATGGGTCTTCCGTGCATGGCGAGGAGATGGCAAAGAAAGAAGAGGAAGAATCTATGCAGCAGCTTGGCTCAAGCAGCTCAAGCGCCAAAGCTGACGTCATGGCACATGTTCCGTCGATGTCGACGGCTTTCCTGCTGTGGCCGGACCCAACGCATGAATGGATCTGAGTTCCTGCTGTCTATGACTGCCCATGACTCACCACAAACATCCAAGCTAGCCTTCAAATTTGAAGCCATATTATATACATATAAAATATATACGTATATGGTGTTCCAGGTCTTTGTCAACCCCAGTGTGTGTGTGTAAGTTTCTTGGTTCCTTTGCAGAAAGTTTTGCTTTTAGTCAGACTCCACACCAACCCTTGTTTGGGATGCAGATGGGAACCATGTCCATCCTCCATGAATTGGCCCTTCGCCTCCAATGTACCTTGCGACTGGGAGGGGGGAGCTGCTTGGAAGGGTTTTGCTCCAGGAAGCTGGAAGCCGAATACGAGCAGGACAAAGAGAATGACCAGATCGGAGAGCACTTGCAGCGCAAGGCCACTCACATCACATGTGGAACGGAGACCCAAACGGAGTTCTGTGACACGGGGAAGGTTCGACTGTGACCAAGACAGGCGATGAAAGAACACTCAAAAGTCATGTGGAACTCATATGGATGGCGGATGAACTGAGTGGCAAAATAAACGGCAGTGGCAAAAGCAAGAGCTCTTTAAAGGTTACTGATCGAGTTGAATCTTTCACAGATACCTGGAGTCTGAAAGTACCTCAGCAATTCAATAGGTACAAGTATACATGCCACATCATAAAATGTTAAAATGTATTTTATTAAAACATCGGTTAATATAAAGGGTCGTGTCCCATTATCTAGAGTACGAACTGGAGTGTCCGTACCGTACGTGTTTCCAGGTCCTTCGATTCCGATCGTGAACGCAGGTCGATTCCGACGACCTGGTTTCGATTGGCGTCCAGTTGGCGTCCGGTAGGAGATGCCAATGCATTGGTGGCCTGGTTATTGGAACCTTCAGCGCCACTTTAGACCCTCTTTACTTCAGTACAGAGTGACAGAGTGTTCCTCCAGTGCCTTGGACACTCCACGTATATATATATATATACCCTAGGGCTCCGGCTCCAACTACCTCCGTTTCGAAGGTGGTTTAAGGTGGGTGCCAGGGGGGTCTAACCACCGAACCTGAGGGTATGGGCCAGCCCTACAAATATGCATGCCTATTATGCCTATAGGTTGCTTTGGTTCCACCGGACCCCACCGTGCTCGGGGAGCCGTGGACCGAAGGCGCAGGAGAGGCTCCGGCAGCGCTCGGAGGAGCGGCGGAAGCAGGAGAGGGCAGCGTTTCTTCGGCTGCCGGAGGCGGCTGAATTCTGAATTGTTCATCCATATATGTGAACACATATGATCGTTTTCTGGTTTAAAAAAATATGGTGAATTGGTTGTTTGATGTTATTTGTATTAGGGTGAAGGATGTGAATGAGGTGCCAGGGCAAACCCCGATGGATGCCCGGCACCTGTGTCTCTTGACTGGAAGGAAGAAGGCACCAAATAGATGTATATATAATATATAATTGGCAAGATGCCCAAGAAGATGCCTGACAATGACATGTGACATGTAAGCAAGTGACAGGAACCCGACACACAGTGACACGTGACGAACGCACCTTCTTTGGCCGGTTCGACCTCTCGATCGACCCAGGAGACCCAGGCGAAGAACCGGGAGGCCCTGCAGCGCTTGGAACGTGAGGAGCGCCAGGCGGGTCCGGTCGAGTCCAGGGCGTTCAGGACACATGACGACTGACCCCAAGAAATACATAGATACATATATATGAATATCACTTGACTTCGAGCTATCCCCACCCACCCTTGGGACCTGGGGTGAAACAGCCTTCTTTTCGCCCATCCCATATATGTACCAGGGTCCTAGTTCAGGTTTCTCAACCTCTCTTGGCTGGTGGGAGAACCGGGTCGTGGGTCCTGTCGCGTGGGGAGATGCCTCCAGCTATGCTCTCGACGGTGCGACTGGGGGCAGATCTGGAAGTATTGAGCTGTTTGGACGACAGCCATGGCATCGCATCAGGCCGAAGAGGGCCAGAACATGAAGCTGCAGAATTGAAGAAACAGGTGTTTCTCCTTTGTAAGATTACGCCCCCCCATATTTGGATCGTGAACCCCTGTTGAGTTTAAGCTGCCAGCTGCGGCCAGCTGTGTCATAGTGACCAGTGGTTCAGTTCTTAGAGAGTGGGTTCTCTTTCAAACTTAGCACTGTAGCGCAGGTGGCGTGGTCAACTCATTTAGATCTATCCCAGCTTCCCAGGACTTGCAATGACTCATGAAATACGGGTCACCTGGATCTCATAATCCATCTGCATAGGCTGCATAGGGGGTCAAATGAGTCATGTAGATCTCTCCCAGTTGGGTTCTCCTTGGGGCCTGAATGCATCAGAAGATGCTTGAAGAGCACATTGAGGATTCTCCATGTGGTCTACCCTGGTGACAACCATGTCAAACCCAGTGGTCAATCAGAACACTCCAACTACCTGCCTCAAAACATCCTAAAACTTGCATCAAACGGGTGAGAATGGGTGTGGCGTCCCTCCTTCTCAGTATGACGCTGATTTGGCATACCCCTGAGGCTTCGTGTGAGAAGCAGCTGGAGCAGCGGCGGGCCACAGCCGCACAGCGGGCGGGCTCGCGGCTACGGCGAGCCGCTGGGCTTCATGGGATCGGCTACAGCTTGGGGACCCATCACTTCAGTCAGAGCTTCACCCGACTCACCTGACAGGGACAGGTGCTAGCCTCACTCATTGTGGAGCTACTTCTACAGAGGTGCCCGTGGCCAGAAGGACATCCAGGGGAACCAACCATTCGTCTACATGTTCGTCGTTGGATCTTCGTTTCCGTCGTGTGCAGATGCCGAGGAAAAGGATGAGGAAGAGCGGCACAAGCGTGAACAGGAGGCATTTGGGCGGGCACTGGCCACTCAGATCCATGAGGATCCATGTCCCCAAAAGACTATGAACAGATGACCATATGCATGGCACAGGATGCGCCAGGTCCATCACCCCCATTCAGCAAACCTCCTTTTGGTGGAACCTTCCCATCTAAGAGACCTTCAGATCAGGTGCGACAGGGACTCGGCGCGCGTCGAACCAGGAGCAGGACCGCCTCGCTCGGGAGCGGAAGCAGCTCTACCGGAACCCCCGCTCCATCGCGGAGCTGAGCTGTGGCAGCAGATTTGGAGTCTGAAAAGTCCTGGGGCTGAAGCTTTTAGATCCTTTAGGTCAGCTATATGAGGCATATACGTGTATATGTACCTAGAGAATCCTTTACCTTCTTTTTTTTGGGTGGAAGAAAAAACACTAGGTTTATATTAAAAAACATAGGTTTCTTGTGGGAGGCCATCATCACATATGACATTGGTAGGAATCCAATGGTCTTGGAATTGGTTGATGCCACAGCTAAACAAATAAGCAACCCCATCAACACAAACAAACCGCACAAAAAAGGTCTGGTACCGTTTCGACACCCACATCCCATCCCAGATTCATTTGCACACTTTTCTAAGACAAAAGGCCAGCCTTTGAGAACGCTACATGCGCAGCAACCAAATACCGATCTAGGGAACGTGTCGCAACTTGTCTTATATTCACACGCCTGGATAGCCTCGAAGCCTTGCCGATACAATCTTCGTCTATCTGGCATCCAAATAGCAACGGGTTGACTGCTGTTGAGACCTGAACTCCATCAGACCGCACTTGCAGCATCACATGATGAAACACATGAAGCTTGGGGTAAAGTGGAAACAACCACTGTCGGCCCAACTGGAATTGCGCTTCAGCCATTTGCGAATATACCGAGAGAAAGCTCAAGCCTTGCTGACTGACATGCGCACACTCATTTGCAGTCAAAAATGCACCTGCTCGATACAATGTACTGAATAAAGCGTTCATCCTGTACGTCGCCATACGACATTTGACAAGAAAACGATCACGATCAGCACAAACCTTTCCTAGCAGGTCCACAAGCCACAAACCAAAATTTGCTGTCAATGCTCCCTTGTGCCAGTTCCCCATTGCTCCAGAGGAATCATTGTAGCTCATGAGGTACGGTGTAATCTTCGACACATGAGCTTGCTTCCGGTTTGTCGAACACCAAGAAAGGTAGTCCTCAGTCAAAAAGTCCCATTTCAGGTCCAGGTTTGCAAGAGGTAACACCTGTAAGACCAATTGAACCACGCTTGCAATGAATGAACGTCCAAACCCCAAATGGACCATATGCCAAATGTCCGACTTAAACAGACTAGCTGGGTTTGAGCGATCATGCAAAAGGTACTTCACAAGCGACGGAGTGCGAACCCATGGAAGCTTCACCCCCTCTGTGACCCTCCACGCTGGTTGCAGTGTGGCCAGCTCCTCAGCCGGAAATGATCTGGTCCCTGCCAAGCAATATGGACAAATGCCTTTCGGCTGGCCTCTTTCTTCACCCCGCTTTGCTGAAGTGTTGTATCCACGGTAAAAGTGGGCAACTTTCCCTAAGAAGGGTGCATCACCTTTGACCGCAATAAGCACTATGCGAAACCTGTTCCCAGTTGTTTCATCCAGAAAGCCAACACGTAGACAATTGCTAAGTGACCTTGCAATGTGAGTAACGGCCTCATGGAAAACCTCGGGTGTGTCATCATACGCAGACTTTGGCAAGGTGTGCAGGACATACCGTGTAGTGAACGAGTGTCCAGCATAGTTCACCCGAAGGTTGGCTGAGTCAGGATCATGCCCACCAACCCTCTTCTCATCAAATCCACGCCCCAGTGCACTCTGAAGAGAACACACCATAAGAGCTGAGTGCTTCAATGTGCGTCCTTCATCTCCATGCAAACAAAATGCTGCAGTACGGGAAAGGTCAATGTCTGAATCACCCAGAATGTTGAAGAGCTCAAAATTGGGATTTGTCAACTCAAACAAACGCCAGAACTCTGACCAATTGCAGCAGGCACCACCATAGTCATGAAGGTTACACCCCGCCAACACAGGCCACAGGCCATTCTTCACAATAAACTTCAGCCATGATTCCGGCGAAATCCATGGTAGGTCCACACCATCACAGGACATTGTCTCTACAGGTATGTCCAACTTGATTTTTTGTTTTTTCAACACACGGTGAACATCCCTTTCAGAATTCTGGAGGCCACACTTTGCCCACAGTTGGACCCCAGTGCTAATGGCCCTCTCTTCACCCATGTCATGGGCCACCGCTGCAGCAGTCTTGATCTGGCTGACACAGCTGGCCTCAGCAAACCGGGGGCAAGGGCGCACAACAAAAACATACTTGCAAGAAGAAGCCTCATGCTCCAGAACCATGTTACAAGCTGTTCATTAAATTAGATACTGTAATCTTGGTCACACAAATCTGACACCAAACTTGCAACAGTGCAACATGAATCACTGACTTCATCACACACCAACAAAATGCAACATAACACATTTTCCCACCGCCACACCAGCATCACATGAATTATGATGGCAATTCGCTGTCTAAAAAACAGCACATGCAACAATTTGAATTGGTTGGAAAATGGTTCGTTGAAACACCAGGTTCAGAAAAGGAAACCATTCAGGCCATAGCCGCGCTTCGCACTTGCATGCTTGGCCGTTTCCATGACTTGTACACAACATACGTCAGATATGGACCACTGTCAACATCTTTCACACTATCACCACCACGTCGTTCATTCTTACATCCCTGGATGCCTTAGTTCCAGAAAACCCCACAGTCTATCACACACGCAGGGAAGCAACTTTCCCAGCAATGATCAGTCACCCCAACAACAAGCAACAGGGCATTAATTTTGAAACTCTAGCCATGCAAACAGGTCACTTGAAAACCTCTCAATCAGTGCAGCTTCAAGGAAAGCTGGGCCATGCGGGTTTGAAGCTGCATAGAGGACAAGCATGTAGTCAAACTTCTCTCTTGAATGTTTGTAGCCAAATTTGGCATTATGCCACCTGACCGCTGCATCATGGCAGAAACCAAATTTGAAAGTCATCGGTTTGTTTTCCAATAGGAGGCGCTCAAAGGTGTTGATGGAATGTTGTAGGACCAATCCAGATGTAGCCCCTGGTTTCGGCAGCGTCATCAACAAGCTAGAATCCATTTCAATTTTCCGAAATACATCTTGTGACCTGGGAAGGCATCTAAGATCTTCATATTGCAGGTAGCGATCCTCAAACATAAGTGAACCTGCAGGTTTGACTTGACCACCCCAATCACTGCCATTCTCAAGCGGCAAGCAAGTGTAAGCCAACTCCAGTTCTGGTTCTGCAAGGGGCTTTGCATATGATCGCACGGCTTTCACCCGTTTGTATTCCCAAGCATAGGGGCCCAAAGAGGCCTCAGGTAGGTAGGTAGGTAGGTAGGTAAGTAGACCAGTAGGATAGGCATACCTCCATACTAGTTAGACCATGCACACAACAGGATAAGTCCACATGTACTAGCTACACTCTGGCCATTACTGCCACTCAAACATGCAAATTTAATAGGGCAAGAAACTGGCCGGTGACAGCTCAAGAGTTCTATGAGCTCATCATCCGAATCTTCCATTGCACAGTAAGCCCGGCCAAAGCTGTGTTGTTTGAGATGCTTGTTGAATTCAAGTTGTATAGTTGGACGGGAAACCACAAACCACAATATTATATCCCTGATGCTTGTTTCTCTCAAGCCTGCAAACATATTTGCAAGTGTTATAAATTGTTAATTTTCCAAGAATCTTGTACTCCCTATCCTGGCCAGAGCCACAACACCTCACCTTTGACGCGGGCACCATGGACAGGGATCAATTTCTCTAGTGAGCCCCAGCCCAAAGTCTGAGCTCATGGCCCCCTCACCAACGTTGGCCGCAAAGCGCTTGGCTGACTTCCCAACGAGACCTGGCAGCCAGATTGACCCAGAAATGGTTGTGAGGGGAGCATGGAACAGATCCAATGGCTGACATTGCGCAAACATGTCATAGTGTTTTTTCACCATCACACATGGCTCCAAATTGAAGCCTGATTGGCAGCTAAGAAACTCCTATGCCATCAACGGTGCTCTTGAGTGCATGGATGTATCAGCATGTACCAACTGCATGTATGACCTGTTGCTATTCAACCACTTTTGGGGGTCCTTTTTTTCAATGCATTATAGAGATCTTGCAGCACCAGAGCAAAGGCACATGGTCCATGAATTTGGATTGCATCCAGGTAACGCAACCCCTCCCGGCAAACTTCCGTATGAACAATCCCTCTAGCTCAAGATATCTCTCAAGAGGGCTGTCAATACCAACCCCAAACCATAAGAAGAGCTCACTTGCGTTCCACTTCAGCATTGTCATCCTTCTTGACCTTCTGAAAATGGCGCTTGGCAGACCTGGGCTAGGGCAGTGTGACGATTTCCAGACACAGTTGACTGACTATAGTCCAACTTGTGGGACATGGATGGGGGTCTTGCCAAGGACATCCAGTGTCAATCCATGCCCTGCTGGAGATCAAAGCTGACCAAAAAGAATTTTGAGGTCCAGGCCGAATCTTGGCTTCATTCTGGGCAACTTTCGTGCACCTGGCCATGTGCTCAAAATTGTTGGGTTGGGGCAAGGTTGACTGAGATGACTAAGTGTGCATCCTAGGCACACAAATGTGGAAGCCTTCATCATTTTCTCAGCAGCTTGACTCCACCTACAAACATAACAGCGCACGGTCGAGTCTGCCAACAGAACAAAACAGTTTGTAAACAATCAGCAATTTCTTAAGTGTCATCCAATTGAAAACATGTGCTGTTGAGCTACGCTTGGTTGTGGTCATCCCTTTCACCCTGTGCCACATGCTCCGATAGCTTGTTGTACTCACCATCCAGGACGTTCAGATCCGCATTGAGCTGCACCACAGCCCTGGGCATTGGATTCGGTCAAGGCCAATGCAGATCAACCGGTGAATGCAAGACATGTTCAAAACATATTTATGAAGGAAGCTGCAGGCTTGCTGTCTAGAAACTTTCTTGCAGTCATGTCTTCATTGTAGTTTTTCTGGAGATCACTCACCAATGACCTGATCTTGGCAGCCTTTGCCAGCACTGATTCAACATGTTTGGCGAAGACTTCCTTTGCCCGAGCAGCCTCACGCATGAGAAATCCAATGTTTCATCTCAATCCAAATGGGTTGTTTAAAGATCCATGTCATTGACCCACCCA